ATGTTTTCCAGAATTTAACTATTTTTATTTTTTGTTCAATTTGCAGCCAGCTCCTGGGATAAGGTTAGATTATAAAAAAATCGATCTTGTTTGGGTAATTACAACCACCCCTTCAACTATGTATCGTCTTACGAAAAAACTTTTTATTCAGTAGGTAAATTTGACCATGTAAGAGTGAATGTGTAAGACAATATATAATTGAAAAGAAGGGTCAATTACAACCATCCCTGAGGTATGGTCAAATACAAAAACCCTCCTCTTGTTTGAATAATTACAATCACCCCCTCAACTCCTCAAATTTAGTGGAATCTTCGATATTATATGGAAGTTTATCACTTTTGTACCCGTTTTATCCCATTCACTCTACATTTTGAAGCAAGATGATCATAATATGTGTTTTTTGGCTTGTATATATCAGATTGTGGTGCATCAAAAACTGTATTTTTACACAAAACGAGTATAAAGTAGAGCACATTCCACGAAATCTATATGATTATGTTGAATTTGACACCATAAGGATGGAGTTGTAAGAAAAAATCATAGTTCATGAGAGGTAGATGTAATTATCCAAACATGAGGGTTTTTTTTTGTAAATTGACCATACCCTTGAAAAGAATGGCAATAACAAAGAGAGATTTTTTCGTAATCTGACCTTACCTCGGATAGGGGGCTTAAGCATTTAATTTGATGATGTAACAACATCTCCAAAGTTCCAGTCAATAACTTTCTCAGGGATTTTGTCCCCAATAATTCTAACTGAATTTTAATTTAAGAAATTAATGGTTGCATCACCATTTTGGCCTTTTACTTCTCTAAAAGGCGCAAATATATATATATATATATATATATATATATATATATATATATATATATATATATATATATATATATATATATATACGCACACGCGGTAGCTGATGGATACATGCATGCTCCTCTTTTTTCTGATAAGTATGGATACATGCATGCTACTAAATATAGAAGCATGTGTATATATATCCATGTTACGTTCTTGGCTTTGGGCTTTAAATTTACGCGTCTCATCCGGTACGTAAGCTGTAAATCTTGTTGCGTAACACGTATACACGTGGATCCTCGATACGTATACACGGAAAGAAAAAAAAAAGTTAGATGCTATACACGCAGGTAGTGACGAATTTAAGATTTTAGTTATTTAAAACTTTAATGGACCGTCAAAGAAAATAAAATTTACCTTTTTTGATATAGCATAGCATTTAGATCATGTCTTTCCGCGTGGTTCAATTTCTTTAAAGTTATCATTCTAAATTGGTATTAATATTGGGCTATTACATATTTTTAAATAAATTACATGAAAATATTATTTAACACTTGATTCCTCGTTGATTTAGAGGGGTCTAGGGATTTTTTTAATAAAAGGTAGAATTGTCGACTAAAATTTTGGAAGGACTTGCGATCAGAAACTTTGGAGATGATAGATTGCTATTTTTTAATAAAATTACAATTTGACCCCCTATAATCAAAATATTAGAGAAACACCCTAACCTATTTTATATATAACATAAAAAAAATTCAAGGGTGTGCAATTGCACACCCTAGAACCAATGTAGCTCCGCTAATGCATACATATGCACGTGGTGTGCATCGGGTATATTAAACGCTCTTAGGCCCCGTTTGGTTGACAAGATAAGATTAAATAATCTAATGAGACACAATTATTTTATTGGAGCTTGAAACGTCCAACAAAAAAAACTCATTAGAAGGCAAGATGAGCCAAGATAAAGCAAGATAAACCATGATTATATAATTTTGGCGGGTCAATCCGACAATTTATTGAGAATACCAAACATCAAATTAACCCAATTTGAAGCACAAAATAAAATAAGTTTGACCACATGAATAAAACTCACCTCTTTTTTTCCCCCAAAAGCTGCAAGCATAAAAATTCAAACACGCAATAGAAAAATAAAGAAATTATTCCGAGGGAGGACCTTTAATTTTTTTGCAGTATTATTATCCTATTCCTAATTGTAATTATAATGATGCGTCTCTTCATAATTGGTCCAGATTACATATACCATGTCAGCATCGCGAGTCATTGGCGAAGTCAGGATTTCACACCAAGGGAGCAAAATATGCATTAAAAAGTTTAAATAAATAATAGTGTAAAGAAATTAGTGACAGTAATGATTGTCCCAAGAGTGGTGATTATAGGATATTGTTATAAGGTCGATTTAAATTTTTGAAGGTTTAAGGGCAGCGCCACTCAATTTTTTTTTAGAATTGAATTTCTTTTCTTTTTTCTTTGATAAAACGAGAAGATATGTAAGCAAAAGGTTATGACTTTTTTGCATTAATTATTTATTGGGTGGACAAATAGTAAAAATTGGATGAATGGGACTTAAAAAATATATAAGTGAAAGAAAGTGAAAAAGTTTTTTATTAGAGATGGCCTTCGGTCCATCCTACCCCATAGTGGACTCGCTTCTTTATCCTACTTGTTAGACTCAAATTTAAGAGCAGCGCCCCTCAAAAAAATTTTAGAATTGAATTTTTTTTTCTTGGATAAAACCAGAAGATATGTAAGTAAAAAGTTATGACTTTTTTGCATTAATTATTTATTGGGTACGGTGGACAAATAGTAAAAATAAATTAAGCATTCTTTAATTAATAATGCTTAATTTATTGTTATATAAAACTAAATTGTTAAAAATTAGAGATGGCCTTCAGTCCATCCTTTCTCAAGGGTGAACTCGTTGGTTCCAATACACAATTTGTAACTTGTTTACCCTACTTATTAGATTCACTTGTTATTTTTCTTTGTTTCTTCAATTAAAAATGCTTGTTTTATTTTTATATAAAATTAAATTGTTAAAAATTATAAGAACATAATATAAAGACTAAATAAGTTATAATATATATATATATATATATAGTAATAGTAGAAAAAATAAAATTTAAGGGGATCGTAACCCCCACTGGCCCTACACTGGCTTTTCCACTTATCGTGGGATTAGTATAGTGTAAATTAGTCATGAATTGACATCATTGCATGAGTCACCCACATGAATCGCCAACTTTATATTTTTAAAGCCAATCAATATAATTAAAAATATATAATAATGCAATAAAAGTAAATGAGGTAGCTAAAAATAGTTAGAAGAAGAATAAAATTCCAGGAATTAATTTGCAGTGGGATTAGATATATGATGTAAAGATGCTAAATATGGGTAGTGGAAAGTCTTTCGACGTGGAACCTCATAAACCAGAAATGCATGCAAGCTTTTCTATTTTTTTATCTATATATAAGGAACAAAATGAATATATATTAATTAAAATCAGATAATTAATTACATTTGGATCTTCTTTCATATCTTGTAAGTTATATATAATCCAGCTTGCTACTTCAATAATATATATTTTATACATTTGAAAATTATCCTAAAAGTTTGGTACAACCAAATACAGATTTCATATATATGTAAACAAAATTGCACTTTTCCCCCAACAAGTTAAGAAAAGAGATTGCCCTCCTTCGAAATTTTGTTCCAGTGGCACTGTGTCCCTTGTTTACAATTTTCGTTGTATTTTTCACGTAAATTACCACAAACCCATCAAATTGAAGGGCACTTGCCTCATTTCTAGGATGGGTCTACTAACTGAAGAAGAAATTAAAGATTCTCTCAATTTTGGGTCCACAATTGCACAATCCATTTTGGGAGAAAAAAAAACTCTAATTAATGAAATAGGTTTTGTTTTTCGTCTATTATAAAGTATAAAGATACTAGGACTTGGATGAGAAAAATAAAATGACTCAAATGCCATTGAAGTGGATTGATAAATGACAATTCCGACCAAAAATACATTGGATATTGTGATTTTGGGCAAAGTGCAACTAGAGTAAAATTTTGAAGGGGGAGAATTTATTTATTTTTTATTTGTAGGGGCGGAAAGTAAGAAAATTGAAAATTTATAGGGGGCAAAGTGCAATTTGTCCATGTATATATTAGCCATCCATGCACATCAAAGTAGAAACATAGGCAAAAAAAATTAATGATTGAACATGAAACCAACTATATATATCCATAATCAATAATAATTCTAGTGGCTAACGAATGGACACTCATCCTAAATTATATTGCCCAAACATGACACTCGTAGATTCTTCTGGTTCAATACAGTTGCCCAACTCAACCCGGCTCACAAACTAATTGGGCTCGACCCACATACAATTGGACCGAACTAATGGGCTTCAAATCGAGGCGTGACTCATTTGAGGAGGCCCATATATATATTGTCATTTATCTAAGAGAAGCTCTTCAATGAGGAAATACAAAATCGGACGACCCTCAAATAGATATGATCAAGGTTTGGTTCGGTTCCGGTTCCAGTTTCAAACCGCCGTTTTCGGTTCCGATTTTAGAGGAACCGGAACCGAACCGAATATTTCCGGTTCTTTACGGTTCGGTTCCCGGTTCTAACTGTAGAACTCGGCGGTTCTTAATAATATTTTTTTAATTTTTTTTAATTTTGTTTAATTATTATATTTAACTAAAAAAATGCTTTAGAGATAGTTAATTTTTTTTAAACAGTGGAAATAATACTTATATAACTTAATTTTTTTTTTTTTAAATACTTTAAAAAAATATATTTGTACTTCTGAAAATTTGAAAGAATTAGTTGTAGTTTTAAAAATGAAAAAAAAAAAGGAAAAGGAAAGAAATTGAAAGGGCTTAAAAAAGGAAAACAAAAGAATTAGTTGTAGTTATAATTAATATTTAAATTTTTTTTACTGAAAAAAACCGGTTAGACCGGTTCTAACCGATGGTTGGCTGTTACAAAAATGGGGAACCGGAACTGAACGATTTTTCCAGTTCCGTTTCCAGTTCTGGTCAAACCGGTTCTGGTTCGGTTAAAGAACCGTTGACCCCGGTTCGGTTCCGGTTCCGGTTCCGGTTCTAACCGAACCGGTGCTCATGTCTACCGTCAACTACAAACAAATCCGATCAAAAAGCGCCCGATAATGTTTCAAATAACAATATAACATAATAATGCCACCACATGTTATGGTAAACGGCATGTACTAACGTAACTTTGCAGTTTGCATCATAAGTTCATAACTCATGAAACTTCCACTGTTCTTAATTAACTGAACTATCAACTAGTAACAAATACGATCGACACCGATAGAGAGAATAAAAAAAAGGAAAAAAAGAAAAGGAAAAACACAAACGATTCTAATATAAAGCAAAACAAACCGGAAACGGTGCCGGCAAAAGAGGCTTACGAAGACTTAAAAAGTAGACCGACCACCTTAAATTATTGGTCTCACCACTACTGACAGAGCTGCTCAACGGCAGCCACGATTTGCGCAGGTTGAACCACAGTCCACTCCTCGAGCGTCCCTGCGTAAGGAGTCGGCACATCCTGCGACGACAAGCAAACGATCGGCGCGTCCAAATAGTCGTGGAAATTCTCGTTTATGGCAGCTGTGAGACTGGCACCTATGCCACCAGTCCTCATGCACTCCTCAACAATAACCACCCGATGAGTTTTCTTCACCGAATTTCCTATGGTGTAGAGATCAAACGGCTTCAACGACCTAATATCGATCACCTCAGGGTCAAACCCTTTGTTGACCAGAGTCTTGGCTGCCTGCATCACATGGTACCTCATCCTCGAGTAGGTCAAGATAGTGACGTGCTCGCCCGGCCTAACCATCTCCGCCTCCTCCAACGAAAGCACGTACTCTTCGTCGGGAATCCTCTCCTTCAAATTGTAAAGAAGCACATGCTCGAAAAGAACAACCGGATTCTCACTTCTTATAGCGGCTTTCATAAGACCCTTTGCATTGTACGGTGTCGAACATGCGACCATCTGGATTCCGGGGATCGACTGAAAGTACGATTCCAGCCTCTGCGAGTGCTCGGCGCCTAGCTGGCGGCCGACGCCACCTGGCCCTCGGATGACTGTCGGGATTGTGAACTGACCCCCCGAGGTGTAGTGGAGCATCCCGCAGTTGTCGGAGATTTGGTTGAAGGCTAAAAGGAGGAAGCCCATGTTCATGCCCTCGATTATTGGCCGGAGGCCCGTCATGGCGGCTCCGATCGCCATTCCGGTGAAGGAGTTTTCGGCGATGGGAGTATCGAGCACCCTCAGGTCACCGTATTTATCCGCGAGGCCCTTGGTCACCTTGTAGGAACCGCCGTAGTGGCCGACGTCTTCGCCCATTACGCAGACTCGTGGGTCCCGCTCCATTTCTTCCTCCAGCCCTTCTCTCAGGGCTTCGAACAGCAAGAGCTCGTGCCTAGAAAAATCAAATCGTAACCGTAACTAAACTAGTTTTGAGGACATCATTTTTCGCAAGACAAAAATCATAGCCGTAACTACACGTAACAAATTTACAACACGTTTTTTTGTAATGTGCGTAGAAGGTACCTAGTATTCATCACTTAATATTTGGGAAAAAAAATACTTCTCGACCACTCTAAGAAAGCTCGGTTTCACTAAATTAAATCGGCTCGTCCAGTAAACGTTGTACGACTCACACGCCGATAATAACAGCTAACTTCTCGACATTGCAATCAAAATGCAGAATACATACATACAGAGCATTGAGATATAAGCATAGTTTTGAATCCAAAATCTTACCCTGGTTTGGAAGCAGCTGAAGCAGGATTTTCGACCTGTGTCTGAAGCTCCAAAAGATAGAAAAAAAAATACACAAGATCAAATATCGGGGATGCAAAAAACGATACATTCGAAACATATCGAACATAAATTTAAAGAGGTGTGCAAATAAAAAAAACTGACCGCCACTGCTTTAGTGGTGATCTTTCGAGTGCAGCGAGTTCCATTAGTCGGACACGAAATCGACCTTGCCTCAGATCTGATGACTGATTAAACCAACAACATAACAGAAAATTAATTAGCAGAGAAAAATAAGATGAATATCAGGGGCCGGCCCGTATAATGTAGGGATCCTTAAAATTGTATGATCAGTGTAATGAAGCTAAAAGGAATCAAATAGCAGCTCAGTTATTCAAATTAGCTCAAGGAACATAAATCACCCTAATAAATCAAAATCGAATCTTTTTTCATTGCTGTTCGATTTCACCGGGAGCATAACCCAAATTGTAATAGAAGATTCAATAGAATTCACACACACACAGAGAGAGAGAGAGAGAGAGAGAGAGAGAGAGAGAGAGAGAGAGAGAGAGAGAGAGAGAGAGAGAGAGAGAGAGAGAGAGACCTGGAAGAGAGCGAACAGATAACTTAGCGGAGTGATCTGAGAAGGCAACTGAGGCAGATGACACGCCAAATGATTGCAACATAGCCGCCATTGAATCCTCTCTCTATATATTTGTGTGTGTGTGTGTGTGTGTGTGTGTGCGCGTATGGAGTGTAGGATTCTTTCTCTTTTGTGCGTGAAAAAGAATAGAAATGAAACGAGGGTATGGCAGAAAAAGGTGCTTATAAATAAGAGAGAGAAAGACGGAGAGAGAGAGAGAGAGGTGGGGCGGAGATACAAATGCGAAGGAGGCAAAGGTGAAATGGGAATGGCGATTAAACCGAAGAAAGAGGTTCCCATAAGTTTTTTTTTCAATTTGCTGTCAACTGCCATTGTCTACATTCTATACTTACTCACCCAATTCCCAACCAATTTTGCTAAGGCCTCGTTTGGCTCCCTATAATTATTCGGACGAAAGCCAAATCAAACTGCTCGATAATCGATTTAAAGTTATTTTTACAAAAAAAATTGTATGAGCTTGATTTGTTTGACATAATCAACCAAATTTGAACACATATTTTTGTTTCTTAAGCTTTGAAGTTTGACTCGAGTTTGATTAGAAAAATGTGATATAATGTGTACAAAAAATCAAATTACTTGAACTCCATTACAGCGCGTTGGAGCTCAACTCGATTACTTATCAAACACCACAGTGACTCGAGGGTTTTACTCCCTTTTTATTTCGGTTGTAAGCCATTTTTAATAAATAAATAAAAAAATAATTGCTTATCCAACCAAGTTCGAACACAACATTGGAAAAACGTTGATAAAGGTTCAAACAAACTTGAACAACAAGGTGCTCGGCTCGACTCGAGTTGTTTACACCTCTAATTGTGGTTTTCAATAGTTACATATGATTAATTATATATGTAATCATATACATCTTTCAAATATCCCATTGCATACACGACAAACTTGTCTTCATATATATATATATATATATATATATATATATATATATATATATATATATATATATATATATATATATATATATATATATATATATATATATATATATATATATATATATCATGGTAAATTACGGCCACCCCTGAGGTAATGTCAAAATTATGAAAAAACATCCATCATGTTTGGGTAATTACAACCACCCATCAACTATGAATATTCTTACACGTTCACCTTTATGAGTCAAATCCAACATAATCTTCGTAGAATATTCTCTAATTTGTACTCGTTTTGTGCAAAAAATGCAATTTCTCATGCACCAGAATCTGATATTTACTAGTCAAAAGACACATCTTATGATCGTCTTGTTTCAAAATGTTGAGTTCGAATGGTAAAACAGGTACAAATTAAAAAATAGTCCGCATAATTTAGAAGATTCCACTAAATTTGTTAACACAATAATGAACGTTTTAAAAGATTCATAGTTGAAAAGGGCAATCATAATTATCCAAACATAAATGTTTTTTCGTAATTTGACGTTAGCTCAGTGGATGACCGTAATTTTTACACTATATACTACCATAGCCTTCTGGCGTTAACATCTCTTTAGTTACCTGATAATTGTCGACCATGCCAATTGCCAAGGGAAATTGGTACTTGATCTTGATTGCTTTTTTCTGTACATAAACAATATTTTTGAATATTGGCATTTAGAGAGCGATACCCGATTCAATTCATTTCGATAACGACAGGCCAATTTTTCAAATAAGAACAAAAAAAGAAAAGATAACTATGAATGTTGAGAAAAAATACTAAAACAAAAATAACCTTGTATTGAAATAAATCCATTTACGAAAAAAACTATATAAGACATTCTCCCCGTACAATATAAACTCACTTTGTCCCCTCTCTACGGCACACAACAAAAAATCAAAACATTCTCCAAGAGTTATTTTGAATAATTGTCGCAGCAATTTCTCATAATGCATAGAAATAAATCTTCAGTTGACTAGAAAACGCTGACGTTGACGAGGTTTTACAAACGAACACTACTATAGATAAGCATAAATTAATCTCATACTGACCCAAAATTTTCACCCAAAAACATGTCGAACAAAATGACGGAATTTCCGCCGAATTTTGAACCACCTGCAAAAAGCACTCGAATAATAAGAAATCATCGACTGGATAACATCAATGCTCAAGAAGATAAGACACGTTATTTACAGCAAAAAACTAGATTATTTAACGAGATGGGTGGTTATTTATTATTTAAATGGGAGAAGACCATTTACCGAATTAGTCGTCCTCCATCGGCACATCTGGAATATCAAACCTGTCTTCTTGAATCGGCATAGGTCTTGGTGCTATAGGGAATCAAGGAACACATACTTGTGAATCGGGACAAAGTAGAATTACTCAAACTAGATAAAATCATAAAGAGACTCGATTGACAGTTACATCAGTTTGTATAACCAAAACTTCCCGTGTGTAAATAAATCGGACTTCACAATATCAGGTGCATTTCTCTACATAATAAAAGAAAACACAATGCAATTTCGCAGTCAACAAGGCGAAAATATTAATTATCATGCAAGTAATCGAATACTTCCATCAAGTATCATAATAGCACTAGAGCATGGTTGTTCTAAATAAGATATAGAAAACAAAATATGAAATTAATACTTGGATGGAGAAATTTGAAAGGATATAGATTGTCATAAGATTATCCGGTTTCTCCCCTCGGTTACCGCTGTTATTTAATTCCCTTAGTATCGCAGGTGTAATCTGCATGTCAAGAAAAAGTGACAGAGATAAATCAACTATTTATTACATCAAACAGAAAGAGCTCGGTAATCGGAAGAGTGATAATCTTACTGCTTTGTGTCTGTGTCTTTCGACTAGAGTGTTGAGATCAGTTTTGTGTTCCTTTGTCAATTCATGTTTGTACCTTTACATAATTACACATTGCACACCAAACATAATTAAGGACAATAAGGAAACATATAATAGATCATATCCGAACGCAAACACCAAATAATATTATGGGGAATAAGAGAAAGATGAGACGAAAAAACCAACCTTTGTGCAAATGCAAGAAGACACGTATGCCAGATAGCAGGCATTACTCTGGATTCATCGTAAGATTTCATAAAATGAGCGACCAACGCATCAAGTACACGGTACGGTAGTGCGTATTTCTTCTCAATTAGTATCTTCATTAATAAACTGCACAAAACGAAACAATTGAAAAATGCCTTTGTAAGTCTGTACGGCAAGCTCTAAAAAGAAAAGCAGTAGCAAGAAAAACATCCTAAAACAAAATGAAACAGAATGTGTAACGAGTAAAATCAACACATGCAAATGTAGTACATATCATCCAGATTCAACTCTTGTTCAGGTGGTCAGAATAAATAATTGAGAATGGGAAGGTTTAATTTTATGATAGCTCGAGAAATAAAATGTGCGGGGTCATAATTCTCGTAACTGGACCATAAGTAAATTATCATCTCGATATTTATAAAGCCAGAGTTAATTACCTATCTTCTTGAAATGCTCTAGTAGATAGGTACAATCTTTGAGGGGCAAAGATATGAAATTTATGAACTGTATAAAAACTTCACATAATTAATACCTCGTTGTACCAGCGTACTTCATCTCTGCGAGCTTCAACAGTGCAACACTGTAATAGACATAGGAGATTAACATATCTCAATAATATACAATGATTTATTAGTAGATAACAATGCCATATACATCCAGAGAATCCGGAAAACGGGATTGAATAAGTATTCATAAGTTCTGGTACCAATATGTGAACTTTTAACATGTCATATGACTCATATCAAGAAAAAACATTTCCAAGCTAGAAATCTTTTAGTAACTTGTTTGAGCAATAACTATGAAAGCATTAAGGGCAATGGACAACCAAGGCAAAGTGTGCTAATACACAATCTCGCTGCTGTAAATTTCAGAAACATAAGATAATTAAAGAAGAAAACACTGAATTCAAATCATTAAAGTGTACCAGAAGTTACTTCATAAAGTATCTTGCAAAGAACGGAAACAGGACAGAACATTTTTTTTCCCAGGAGACTTTTCCTTCTTTTATTATGGCAAAATGGACTGTTACGTGACAATCTTATCGATCAAATCAGTATAATAAATTATGGGTTTATCGGTAACACCTTTACGATTTAGGTTATGCAAAGACGATTTGAACAAAGTAGTGGGCAGAGGTCAATAGATACCATACCTAGAGTGAAGAGAAGGAATTGAAATCTTTGCAATGACGCCCCCAACAATAACAGCTTCCGATAAATTGCATGTCCCTGACTGGAACGATAAAAATGGAATTTTTTTAGAAGCATAACCATGTTCATTAAGGAAAACCACATTCTCTCTTTCGTATAAAGTAAATTGATGCTACTAAAAGAAGATAAGTATATAAAGAACATGCCTTCCACTAAAACCCTCATTAGAAACGCACAACCAAAAACTAAAGCTACACAACCAGAATACTCAACTCAATAGAAAAAATACATAAAACACTTCGTTGGATTAATTTGTTTATCTAAATACTGCATGTTTATCGGCATAGCTTAGAATGATTTATCCAACATGAATAATAGCTATGATGGGTAAAATGGAAACTGTACTTGCATTATAAGGAATTTGCTTATCCATTCATATTTAATTTCATCCTTTACAGCACCAGTTCATCGAGTAAGCACTCGAAGTAACGCGTGCAACAAGCAAAATGCTAAGCCTTGTGATCCCTAGTCAAGGTTGGTATTCAAAAATCTTAAATCTGCAAAACATTAGAAGTGGTTATACCTCACACAAGGGAAATAAGATTCCCTTGTTGAAAGCAGCTGGTTTGTATATAGCCTTCCTCAAGGCGTGATGCAAGGCAAAGTGCAGTCTCTTATTCTTCCGAATATCTTGTCTCAAACGTGGCAGCAAGACAAATTTATAGAATCGCTCCACTTTCTTGACACCCATAGTACTAGCAAAGATTCTTGTTGCTTGAAACATTGCATTTGGTGACCATTTTTCAGGTTCGGTCAGGTACAAGACTTCCTCCCAGCATTGCAGTGAAGCTATGTGCCTGAAAGCTTTTGGTATCTTGCCCGAGGTGTATTTGCTGAGCAGCTTGCCAACCCTTTATAATTATAAAAAATGAAGAAATACCGATAAAATGAGGGAGAGCGAAGAAAAACCATGTCAGTAAATAGAGAAACTAAACTATTAGCATACCCCTTGTACAGATTTATGATCTCCGGGTCCAATTTGGGCATTGGCTGCACTCCTACAAACAAATATATAAAACTCAGAATTTCAAAGTGCATCATGCAATTAGTTTCCCGACTATATCAGGTTTAGCAAATTATCATTATCAGCTAAAATAGACCGTAACCTGCAAGTGACATACTACAAAATTATTTATGGAAGGTGCTTTTTTTTCTCATCTTTACAACGAATTACATGGAATACGACCATAATTAACTTCCATTATTGTCAAATAATGCCCATATTTTTTACTTTGAATACGAAAACCAGACAGTCCATCGTCATTATTAGGAAATTACAAATCAAACCTGCAGAAACTTGGGCTTGGGCATCATTTTCTTTGAGCTTCTCAACTATGATATCAGCCAATGTACGTTGAGGGCGATCGTCTTTCGACAGAAAGGCTTCCAGCAGCTTTTCGTCTTCCTCGTCAATTTCATCCTATTTCATCACCAAAGTTGGGAAAACGAAAAGGTAAAGTGAGAACGAAAGACATTTTACAATGACCCACGAAAGAAAAGAATTTTAATACCACAAGATGTCAAAGTAAGCAAGACTCAGGCTTTTAACAAACTGGCATAAAAGCTATATGAACAGAAACAAAAACAAATTAAGATCCTTATCAATCAAAAAATGATTCTACGTAGGAAGTATTAGCACAGGAAAATATCACCAGAAAAAGAAATATATTAAAAGAAATGAAGGGCAAACCTCAAAATCACATCGCTCAATTTGACTCTGGTTGTCCGAGAACCCTTCAAAATCATCGATATCTTCCTCATCGTCGTTGTCTTTGAGGCCGTGCAATTGGGGTAGCGAGAACTTATTATCGCGATTCTGGTCGGAGGCATTGTTTTCGTTATCCTCCTCGAGCTGGATTTCCTTCTGCTGAAGAAGGGCTTCTTTCAGAATTTTGGAGCTGGCGGCGGAGGGGACGAGCTTCTGGTGGAGCTGGTGGTTCTTCGGTTGCTTCGAGCGTTTCTTGGAGGAGAAGGCGTCGGAGCCCAATGGTAAGAAAGGCTCCGGATTTGTGATTCTCCCGCGTTTCTTCGACATTGCTGCTGCTGCTACTGCTGCTTGTGGTGGCGACCAAAAACCCTAGTTTGCGAAAAGGGGGATTTTGTTGATGTTCAGTTTTAACGCTTCACTTCTGGTTTACAAAGTGAAATGCTATTTGCGGTCACAAAATTGCTATTCGCGGTTAATAACAAAATCCACCAAAACTTTTAAAAATATCAAAAAGCCCCCCAAAACTGCAAATAGCAAAAAAAAACAAAAAAAAGATCGAAAATTCGAAATCTAGCTTGAAGAAGGGTTAGGCTATGATTTTTTGATGTAATTTCGACTCTTTTATGTGTAATATGCATTGGGTAGGTCGATTACGGAACCAATTTCATGTTAAAAAGCCCTATAAATTGATTTGTAGGGCTTTTTTTTTCGCAAAAAAATGTTCGAACGCCCAAGATGTTTTTTTTTTTTTTTTTTTTTTAATGTTCGTACACGCCTTGGGCTGTACGAACGCCCGGGCGTTCGTACACGCCTTGGGCGCCCATCTTGGGCGTTCGAACATTAAAAAAAAAAAAAAAAAAAAAAAAAATTGCACCGGACGCCCAACTCGGGCGCCCAAATGTAGCTTGCACGCCCAACTTGGGCGTGCACTGCATGAATGGACGCCCAAGTTGGGCTTTTACTTGTTTTGGGGGTGTTTTTGGATTTTTTTGAGAAGTTTTGGGGTTTTAGTGAAATAAAGTGTTTTTTTGGGGGGTTTTGTTAGAAACCGCAAATAGCAATTTTCAAACCGCAAAAAGCAATTCCCACTACAAATGAGTACTACACACAAGACAATTCCAAAATTACCCTTCGAGGGAAAGACTATTATACCCACCTATAAAAACCCAATTACAGAAATCAAATTCAAGTTCAGAATTTTGGATAGGGCACCGTCTCCACGGCCATGTACTCGATTTTGTAACTGAAATGATAAATGTCGTTTTGATTTTACTAATGTCGTTTTGACTTCGAAAGTGATTTTGACTATTTTCTATTTTGAATTTGGCAAAGTTCAAAAGACGGAACCGTAGTCCTTTGAGATAGCTTTCCAATACAACATGAATCACCTGGATTGGATGTCGGGTGACAAAGTTATGCATGAATGAGTTACGTTTTAAATTTTACATAATTTAAAACATCAAAGTTGTGGGCAGTGTTCATTAATTCATGCATAACTTTCTCAACCGACATCCAATCTTGGCGATTCAAATTAGATTAGAATGCTAACTCAAAGAATTACAAATTCCATGTTCTGAATTTTGCGAAATTCAAACTCGAAAATGGTCAAGATCTCGTTTGAAGTCAAAACGACATTATGAAAACTGAAACGGCATTTATCACCTCCCATTTTGTAATCCTCCAATTGTTCATCTTTTCGATGGATTTGATCTTAGGGATGATAATGGGTCGGTTCGACGGGTCTCGTGACTTGACATCCGAATTAAGCATTTCAAATCAGTCAGACTTGCTAACATAAAAATGGGAGGTGATATTCGCGCTAGCAAAATTACGAATGCAAGTTTAAAAATTCTCTCTCTACCTATCTTTCTCTCTCTACAATTTTAATTTTAATAACTTTTATATTAGAAATCGTTCCAAAACACATGATATTGTAGCGATTTGCAAAGAAAAATGAGGATCGAGATACGGAACCCAATGAAGCAAAATTTGTTCGTTTTTGTTCTATAAATCGCGAAAACGCGACTCATGACCAAACTGGACGCTAAAAAGCCCGATTCACGCCCAATTTGGACGCGCAAAAGTACTTCCCGCGCCCGGTTTGGGCGCGCAACACAGCTTTCCGCGTCCGGTTTGGGCGCGCGCGCATACTGAGTTTTAATAAAAAAATATATATATTTGTGCTGCTACAAGGAAAACGCAACTCACGACCAAACTGGGCGCTAAGAAGCCCGATTCATGCCCAGTTTGGGCACGCAAAAGTACTTCCCGCGCCCGGTTTGGGCGCACGCGCATACTGAGTTTTAATCAAAAAAATTATATATTTGGTTGCTGGCAAAAACTACATATATATGCGTTGCTGGCAAGTTTAGAACACGAGCCTATTGTGTAATAAACAAGACGCTGAGCAACTAGGCTAGAGTGAGTTTATTAACTAATACTTATTTAAATATTATACATCATTTCGTTTATACTGGGCAAAATAAAAAAATAAATAAATAAATTGAACCGGACGATTGGTCTAGAACCGGCATCTGGACCGAACGCCCAAATTAATTTTCCACGCCCAAAATGGCCGTGTGAAAGCAGTTTCCACGCCTGGTTTAGGAGTGGAAACTGCTTTCACACTCCCATTTTGGGCGTGGAAAATTCAAAAACCCAATACTAAAAACAACCCAAAATCCTATTGATCACACCAAAACCCGTCGATAAAAATTGTGAACATGAGCATTTTTTCACACTTCAAGGTAACAATAATCACCTTATAATGTCACTATTATATTACGTAGTCGCAATTTATTTAAATAATGACCTTATTATGTTGCTTATTTATTAGGGATGTCTTGGTACACTAAATGGGACATACATAGTACCACAATTACTTCTTCAACCCCATTGCGGTTTTGCACGGGCTCTGAGCCGTATATACACTTGAATGCGTTGTACGTAGGCTCTCCGGAGTGGTGGTAAAAAAATGCAAAAATAGCTCATCGATTGTATACGAGATTATAGTATCGGATTGAACATTAATCAAACACAAATTGCATCAACATGTAGATGAACAACTGACCCAAGTATGTTGTTTTGAATAGCCTAAAAATTTCACCATGAACAAATATAATGAAAGTTTGGTCTGATGCATGTCTTATGGAAACATTACACACAACTCCAAACAGGGAAAAAGATGATTCGAAATTAACAACCTGGAATCACCAAATTAATGGGTAAAAAGGATCTCGTGAAGGAACTTTAAAAATCAAAAGAAAATCAAAAAATGTTTAAAAGTACGAATAAACAACAAACAATAATAGGAATCAAATTAAATGGGCCTTGAATTCATACCCGCAGTCACATAGTTCTCGTTGCTGCCCATTTGAACCGAAGCCCCCATTTCTATTGTTGTTCGGACTCCTTTGCGAAGTAGTGCTACCATAGCTCATGACGAAAATGTGTGACAAAATGGAATACAATGATCAAGCTTTGCCTATATAAAAGTTTTGGAATCGAGGTTTCGAGAGAAAAGAAGTACAATATGTATTGAAGAAGGGGATAGTGGATGGTAAAGAAGATGAAGAAGACGATGAATAAAATAATATATTTTAAGGGCAATGTAGTAATTTTGCAAGTAAACCCACATAAAATCATAAAATCTAGCAAACGAAACATGTGTTAGTGCAGAGATTATTAGTTTCATACCTATAACTCCAACCAAAAGAGGGATTTATTATTGTGAATCAACAATTTAGTCCAAATTTAGTCCAAGTATAACATATCACATCCATATCTATCTATCCAAACTACCCAATCAAAGAGGCCCTTAATGTTCTAACAAACTATTAGTTATAGGTAGTGATATTAGTTATAGGTAGTGATGGAGACGACATGAAGATATGGAGTGACATGACTCTCCTAACATTTCTTAAATCCTTATTATTTTATATAAGGTTTATAAATTTTCTTTTATGGACAACATTAGCGCCCCGTGGAAAACAAATATAATGCATATCGATCCCAGAACATGAAATATTGGCTCCAATAGATGTTTCAGAAGTATGGTTGTAATTACAAATATCATAAAAACTTTAGCGTTATTTTAGCATACCTCAGAGGTGTAGGTGTAATTTACCATATATTTTAAGACAATTATCACCCTTGTTCCAATGAAAATCTTATAGAAAAAATAGATGAAAGGTGCATTTTGCCATAAAATGTATAATTTGAGGGTGGACTTTGTTATTTTCAGATTTTCGGGCTGCAAATTGCAAATCTAAGTCGAATAACATTACAAAATTATCACTGAAATAATTTATCAGCGTGCATAACTTAAGGACGAGTATTAGGCTCTATGAAGAAAAGAGAAAAAGAAAAAAAAAATGGATGTCTATAAAAAGAACAGTGGAATGAATATATGCTCTAGCATTACGTAACTTAATTATCTATCGTCGTCAAAACTCGTCCACCTGCAAACGTTTCCTGCGAAAAAAGTATTTTGAACAATAAGAAATCATCCACGCGGTAACCGTATCCATGTTTACGAAGATAAACACGTGATTTGCAGCAAAAACTAGATTACTTAATGAGATGGATTATGATTATTTATAGGGAAGAAGAAGACTGTTTACCAACAGAGACAACGGCGGTTATTGAGCAAATTACTTAATCTTCCTCCATCGGCACATCCGGGATATCAAACCTGTCTTCTTGAATCGTTTTCGTAACAAGAGAATGAGGTCTTGGTGCTATACGGAATTAAGGAATAAAACGAAACTCGGTACGCTTTTGCAATTATCAGAACGGAAATGTTAATTATCGTGCAAGTAAAGGAGAAACAAAAGGATATAGATTGACATAAGATCATCATCTTTCTCCCCACGATTACGGCTGTTATTTAATTCCATTAGTATATCGGATGTAATCTGCATGTCGAGAGATAAGTGACGGAGTGATAAAAATCAAATATTAAATCAAACAGAAAAAGCTCGATAATCACAAAAAAAAAAAAAAAGACGAGCGATCGTCTTACTGAGTTGTGCCTTTGCCTTCCGACTAGAGTTTTGAGATTAGTTTTGTCTTCCTTTGTCAGTTCATTTTTGTAACTGCACATAATTACATATTTCAGTAGGAAGGAGAACTCAGTGTGAAACGAGACGTAGGGTATATAATTGGTGTCTATTAAAAAAAAGAAAAAAAAAAAAAAAACCTTTGTGCAAATGCGAGAAGAGACTGATGCCAGACAACAGGCATTACATCGGATTCATCGTAATATTTCATAAAATGAGCAACCAACGCATCAAGTACACGGTACGGTAATGCGTATTTCTTCTCAATTAGTATCGTTATGAATAAACTGCACATAACAAAACAAGTGAAAATTGTCGTCCTAAGTTTGTACAGCAATCTCTAAAAAAAAGAAAAACATCCGAACACGTAAAATGAAACAGAATATCGACTTTTTGTTGAGAAGTTTAGATTATCTTATTGAAATGACAAGAATTAAATTTTATGATAGCTCAGGACATAAACCGATACCTTGTTTTACTAAAGTACTCCATCCCTGCAAGCTTCAACAGTGCAACACTGTAACGAGGCATAAGAGATTAATATCTCAAAACACAAAACCTTACAAAGATATATTAGTAAACAAAACAACCGGAATCGCTCGACAAGAAATTTACAAGTTCTTGTACGGACACGTGAACTTTAATACCTAGAGTGAAGAACAGGAATCGACATCTTCTTAAGGATGTCCCCAATAATACGAGCTTCCTCTTTAGAGCATGTCCTCGACTGGGACAAAGAAAAAAAAAATGGAATTTATTTCAGAAAACGGAAGTTTCCCTTTCATAATAAATGATTTACGAGCAAAAATGCTATTACACACAAATACCATAATACGGGAATCAATTTCGTGAACTCGAATCAAAGGTTGGCATTTAAAACCGTAAAATCCTAGAAGCGGTTACGTTATACCTCACACAAGGGAAACAAGAATCCTTTATTAAAAGCAGCTGGTTTGTATAGAGCCTTCTTCAAGGCCAGGTGCAGGGCAGGGTGCAAAGGATGGTGCACGCGCAGCTTCTTATTATTTCGAATGTCTCGTCTCACAAACGGGAGCAACACGAGCTTATAGAATCTCTCGACTTTCTTGACATCCATAGTAGAAGCAAAGATTCTCGTCGCTTGATGCATTGCATGCGGCGACCAGTTTTCAGGTTCGGTCAGGTTCAAGACTTCCTCCCAGCATTCCATAGAAGCTATGTGCCTCAACAGCTTCGGTATCTTGCCTGAGGTGTATTTGCTAAGCATCTTTCCGACCCTTCGTAATTATAAAAAAAAAATGAAGAAATACCGTAAAAACGAGGGGAGAGTGACGAAAAAGTCATATTATTTATGCTCTGTAAATAGACGCATGTAGACTGTTTAGCATACCCCTTGTACAGCTCTATGTATTCGTCCGACTTTGGTGTCGTCTTCGTTTCTACAAACAAACACGTACGAAATTTCAAAGTGCATTACATCATCATGCAACAAGTTTTTTTAAAGGAATATTAATGTTTGATAATGGCCTATATAGTTCATCGTCATCAGGAAATTAAAAACTCGAACCTGTAGAAAGTTGAGCATCTTTTTCTTTGATCCTATCAACTACGGTATCGGCCAATGCTTGAAGGCGGCCGTCTTTTGATAGAAAGGCTTCGAGCAGCTTTTCGTCTTCCTCGTCAATTTCATCCTAAATCACCCAATTAAGAAAAGATTTTTAATTTTTAACAAACTGACACAAAAATTAACAGAAATTAAAGCAATTAAGATCCTTATCAGCAGAAAATAAATAAACATTAGTAAATAAATAAAAAAAGCCCAAATTACAGCCACCCTGAGTTAAGGTCAAATTACGAAAACCTCCCACGTGTTTGGGTAATTACAGCCACCCCTCAACTATTTACGAAAAAACCCCTTCAGAGGTAAATTTAGGGATGTTAAAAAACCGAATCGAAATTTCAGTACGCCAACATTTCATACTGTTTACCGAACCGAATTATGTAAATTTTATTGAAAATATTTAAAAGAAGCTGTAATTACCCAAACAATAGGGGTTTTGAACTCGTCTCAGGGGTGACCGTAATTTGCCCTAAGAAAATATATATAGATATATGTATATTAATCATCGTCCACAAAATAAATAAATATTAAAACCGAGTACATACTGCAACAAAAAAAAAAATTTACGATCAGTCTCTAAATAAATACATTTAAAGAAAAAATGAAGGGCAAACCTCAAAACCATGTTGCCCAAATTGAGTCTGGGTTTCCGGGAACCCTTCAAAATCACCGACATCGTCCTCACCACGGTTGTCTTTGAGGCCATGCAATTGGGGAAGGGCGAAGTTATTATTAGGGTTCTGGTCGGAGAAATTGATTTCGTTATCCTCCTCGTGCTGGATTTCCTTTTGCTGAAGAAGGGCTTCTTTCAGAATTTTGGAGCTGGCGGCGGAGGGGAGGAGCTTCTGGTGGAGCTGGTGGTTCTTTTGTTGCTTCGAGCGTTTGTTGGAGGAGAAGAAGGCGTCGGAGCCCAGTGGTAAGAAGGGCTCCGGGTTTGTGATTCTCCCGCGTTTTTTCGACATTGCTGCTGGTGGCGACAAAAACCCTACATCGCGAATATTTAATTGTTTATTTGTTTATTTATAAAAGGCATGTGCTTTTCAATACTTGGAAACTAGGTTTAATTGATGCTTTTTTATTTATTTATTTATTTATGATTATTTAATGTTCGATTTATATTTGATGTGGTACGATTTCACGTCACGTGTCGCAATTCATCCCTCGCACTTCTTGATTACTCAGCATTGACACTACATGCATCATAAAAAGAAGTTGTAAGGGAGTCGGGATTGGTCTCGGCGAAAACCCTCCGACGCACAAGTCAGCTTTATATGATCGAAGAATTCAGAAAATTCGTGAGACTGCTCGAGAGTTATGAATTGCGTTCCTTTGATTATGGGGTTTCCGGATATTATTTATATGAAGACATATATTTTCATGGGTCTAAGTCACTTAACATGACCGACCTGGACCTAACTGTTTAGATCATGGCCAGTTTGGGCCTTAGCCAACTTGGTTTGTGAGCCTCTATGGGCTTGTCAAAATAGGCCTTTAGGTGTGGGCCCTTTATAAGCCCCCCACTCTCGATCGGTCTCGAGTAGCGAGAATTGAGAGTAGTTAGTGTGTATAGTCATGTTTGGGACATTTGTGATTTAGTTAATCGATTTGAAGGTTCATGGTGGAAGCAACTTGGTGTTTGGTGAAAATGGTCATACGGCATTTCGCGATGATGGTTGGCGGCTTGCCCTGCTATTGGCAAGTAGGCAGCTCGTGAGGTCATATGCGACTAAATAATTAGTAGAAATTGTGGTTGACGGCTCGCCATGTATTTGGCAAGTATGTAGCTCAGAGGTCGTGGGCGGCTCAATGATTAGTATAAATGATAGCTGACGACTTGCACTACCATTCTCAAGTTAGCGGCTCAACGATTTATAGAAATGATGTTTGACGGCTCGCCATGCCGTTTGCAAGTTGCGGCTCTGGAGCAGTTGTGTGTCTAAGTGCAATTTGTCATGTTGTGATGTATCGATGATTGATGTTAAGTGGACTGTAGAGGAAGGTCTTGCCACGGAGTGATACGCATTAACATATGGTGATGTGTTTGGTATTGACAGTCGAGAGCTCAAGATAATTCTTGACCAGCAACAAATATTCGAGAATAAAAAACAAGGCTTTTCGTGTGTAAAAAATACACGTTAGGGTGTCACATTCTCAATGGAAAAGCATAAGATTGGGTGTGCAAGGTCTTTGATCGAGTCAATTGGAGACGCACTACAGGCTGCCATCTCAAAGATTGTAAAGTTCTTAATTGAGCCACCAGAGGACAACCGCGGGTTGCTAGCTCTGAGTGCACCGACATGGAATGAGACAAATCAAAGGGGTGCCGTCTTGGAAGGGGACAACCTGAAATAAGACGATTAATTAGAGGTGAAAATTTTTTGGACAACAGCAAGACGGCTTAAGGTGTGTCGTCTTGGAAGGACATGGCCATGCTATTTTTTAAGAAGACGACTAATTAGAGGTGACGTCGTAGAAGGAGATCGCTCAAGGGATCGGATGTCGTTTTTGAAAGACTAGCCATGTTAGCCATAGGCGTTGACTCGTATGGAAATTGTCAATTGCGAGGCGGCGAATTTGGGGGATGCAACCTGCAAGATGATTTATGAGATGGTGAGTCTCGTAACGTCATTTGTTTTGCTCACCAAGTGCCGTCTTGGACAAATACTGCAGAGTGGGAGATAACGGCTTTCTGTCTTTACAGACTGGCAATTTTTGAGATGCAGATACAAGGCTTGTCAATTTTGTGTTGGATCTGAAGATAGACAACTCCCATAATAACCATTAGGGAAATGATATGTTGTAGTATGTCGGCCTGGGTGATGAAAGTTCAAAAATGTGCCACCTTAAATGATGACAACTCAAAAGGTGCCGCCTTGGGTATGGCAGTTCAAAATTTGCCACCTTCGATGATTGTTGTTCTAAAGATGTCATCTTGGGATGATGACAAAGATGTTGGATGAAGATGGTTCAAAAAGTAACAACTTGGGTGACGATAGTTCAAACAATGCCGAATGGGGAGATGCCAACTCAAAAAATGCCGCCATGGGTAATGACACTTCAAAAAGTGGCAAAGATTAGTCCCGGTGAAAACCCTCCGACGGTCAAGTCAACTTTGTATGATTGAAGAATTCAGAGAATTCAAGAGACTACTCGAGATTCATGAATTTCATACCTTTGATTGTGAGGTTTCCGTGTATTTATATGAAGACATATATTATCATGGGCCTAAGCCACTTTATAACATGAGCCGATTCGGGCCTAACTGTTTATATCAGGGCCAGTTTGGGTCTTAGTCAACTTGGGCTTGTATTATTATCTTTAGTCGGTTTGAACTTAATTTGTGTACGTACCTCTATGGGTTTGTCGATATGGACATTTGGGCGTGTGCCCATCAATATTATTAGTTAAATTTTAAAACTATTAATATTAGTAAATTTATAGCTATTCATTTTAAAGAAATATATTATCTATTATACATATGTATATAATACATCAAAATACTAATTACAAATATAAAATTATACCGGAATAATTGAAATAAAATCAAATATAATAATATCAACGTGCTATAAACCAAAATAAATTAGAATTGTTCTAACTATTTTTTAGGTAATATGACCCTGTAATTGTTATTATCATCTATTTAGTTCATGAGCATATGTACCTCGACTAAAGAGCATATGTAATGGTTCAAAGACTATAATGTGGTGACTCAACTTTGAAGAGTTACTTCAACGAGCTTGAGAGCGAATGAAGAATCAATTAGACGAGCATCGAAGGGAGCGGTCTTTTTTTTTTTTTTTTTTTTTTTTTTGCTGTTGTGGGAGATCTTGTCTACTTCAAACTCAAACCCTACAAACCGTCAAGTCTCCACAAAAGTCCCGTTTGGAAGCTTAAACCTAAATTTTATGGTCCATTTCGAGTCCTTCAGCGCATTGGTGTCGTGGCTTATGAGCTCCAGTTTGCCACCTGGCATCAAGGTACACCCAGTCTTCCATATTTCCCTCCTTAAGAAACACGTGGGCTCCGACGTTGCTGTGGTGGTCGAGTTTCCTCCGATCACTCCTTCTGGTCAATACCTGTAATTGGTTCCATTTAAGTTTTGGATCGGCGTATGGTTAAACGCAACAATGCGGCTGTGGGTTGATGCTTATTCAGTGGGCTCATTTGCCTGCGGCTCGGTTTCCTCAATTTCAACCATGAGGACATGGTTGTGTTAATGGGGAGGGCATGTAATGATATTAACGGGTACGTTTCTGTTCCAGCTTTTCTTCTAGTTTCCTTCTTTTATTCTAAAGCGAATGAACTGTCGACATGGGCATTGGCTATAAATAGCTCCATAACCGTATTCAGTTGTATGCAAGTTCAGTGGTGAAAACCCATTTTCGTTCTCTTTGATCCAGATCGAGCTTTCGATCCTAATACAAGTTTGGTGATTCATCTATTCGAGAACATTCAATAAAATTGGAGTAATACGGAGAAGATCAACATCACCAGAGATATTATGCATAAAATGAGAAATGGCAAGTTTGGAGATTCATGTTTTGTGTAGACAACTTTGAAGAGTGAAAAAGGATAGCAGTTAGTGATGCAGTAAACAAATATTATATATTATTTATCATTTATCTAATTGTGATGGCCACCTATATCAACATTATAATTTAAAAGAGTGATGATTTTATTAATTCTAAAGCACAAATTCACAAGTAGAAGATCGTACAGTACAAAGATCTGAGTTTCTTTCTTGCTTAAGAGAAAGGGAAGAAAGAAAAAAAGAAAAAAAAAACCCTCGAAACCGAGACTTCCTCCGCTTATCTTTTTACCTGCAAGTTCTTTTTTTTTTCTTTTTGTGCCATTCTTGCAGCATTCAGGTATAGTTTTCTGCGATAACCTGAAAGCCATGTGCTGATTATGTAAGCTGGTCCGGAAAAAAAATTAATCTAATGGCAATTTCAAGGGCGCCAGTGTTTATATTGCAGAAGTTGATCGAGAGCAGCAGAAAATGTAAATCTTTTTTACCTCGGTTATTAAAGGCTTGGCATGTTCTTCCCATGTTGTTGCCCACCTAACTGAAGATACCCTTTCCATCAAGTTTGACCTCATCGACTTCAATGCATTGCATTTTTCTGGAAAACCCTCGAACAACATCTGTAGCAAACAATATAAATGATTTACTAATTTTCCATTATATTTTTGCAGATAATTCCCTGATATAACAAGATGAAGTATCTTCGGAATTGTTTATTTACTTTTAATGATGTGAAGTTTCGACTTCGAACATTAGTATCATTATTTGCAGGGAGAGAAATCCTTCAGAAGACAATTCATAGTTACAAACAACCCCAACTGAATTTGTAAAACGTCTACTGTTTCATTTTTTACAGCATTGAGGTTGGCCTAGTTAGTATCTAGAGCATTAATCGGTTAGAAAAGTTTGTTGGTAACTGAAACTGGCAATAGCAACTAGCAACAAAATGGAAACTAATAGCACCCGTGGTACGAGTTTCATATGTTCTCGTGATTCTCAAAAATAATTTTCTAAAGAATAAAAGGGAAAAGAAAAAAAGTGAACTATAAGTTTGATATGTTACATCAACTTGCCCTTTGCAATTTTCGGAGCTCTTACGAATACTAAAGAGAAGCTTACCATGAGTTCATCAGCCAGTTCTGAAGATGACGAGAAAAGAAGGCCATTCTTTTCAACATCTACCAGCTCCTTTATACTGAAACAGGTATCAAATTGGTTATAACATATGGTTATATTATTTTCGTGCTGAAAATATAGTCTATCTTAATAGTAACATGATCGTACAAAGAAAGAACTCCAAAATTGAACTTACCAAGAATATGAAACAGCACAGACAGGTAATCCACAGCCAAACATATCCACAACCTAATCAACCAAAACTTTCAAGTATAAGGATTTCTGCCAAAAGAAGGCAACTTTCTACTAAGCGCAATACGAGAAACTTCCTGACATATTAGTGCATACCTTCATGGGAAGATCCAACCCTGACGACGAAGTATGCAAACAGACACCTAAATCTGCTGACCCTGTATGCATAATAAAGGAAAAGACACTGTAGCGTTCGGATAGAAAGCGATATAATAGGTCCTGAGGTATACCACTTACCAAGAAGCAAGGGATAATCCTCTGCTGACAGCCACATAGTTCTGAATGCTACACGTTTTAGATTAAGTTTCCTTATCTTCTTCTCGTACTTTTCCTTTTGAGGTCCTTTACCTTCACTTTGTTCGTCCGTTTTAGAATATATAAGGAGAAACTAAAAAGTAATAAAAACTTGATTGATGGGCTGTAAAGATATATGTTACCAGTAATAATGAACAGCAACCGCGGGTATGCAAATTGTTTTTCATCCCAGCAGATTTCATCCCCAGTTTTGTCATCCTCACCTAATAGTGCAGCAACTCGTCTATCATACATAAGAGCTGCTTCTAGAAGAATGCCAAAATCTTCATCCGGGGTCCTGTATTAAATTGTTCTTCATTGTCCATCCATGTCAATAATATATATATATATATATATATATATATATATATATATATATATATATATATATATATATATATATATATATATATATATGTGTGTGTGTGTGTGTGTGTGTGTGTTCATCAATTTCCATTCTTATAATTGTAGTAAAACATTAACTAACAAAAAATAAAGAAGTTCGCTTAAATTATGGCAGCAAACAATTAGTTGGCAATAACATACCAGCTTGTGCTGCTAACAACGAGTGCTGGTCTGTTTTGCTTCAAGAATATATCAGTGCCAACCTTGGTTGTAAAAGGTGTTACACTAGGATCATTGTTTTGTGGTCCTGCAGATCCTGCCACATGTACTTAATCAGATGGGCTTAAGCGGGAATATACTTGATATTAGTTTTCAATCGACTAAACATAGTATTTTTCCTTTTTTTACCGTTGCTTACGCAGTCTCGACGGCCATATGGCTCGTTTATATGTTTACTAATCCTGCAAAATAACTAAAAACATGGTCGGCTTTAAATTTGTTAATTCACAGCTCTTTTGAAGCTAATGATGCCACACAAATTTTGCTCACACTATGTTTCTCCTCAAGTGAAGCAGGCCGGAAGAATTCAGGTGGTTGATCATACAGAACAGTGGCTCTACAATTACGTAAAGTATAAGAGGACACAATTAATCAACACTTGACAAGTGAAAATGTAGACAGTTTTGAGATATAGACAGTTTTGAGATAAAGCTCTTACTTAATTCCCCAGTTCTGTGATAACTCATGTTGCATTGCCTTAGTCACACACAAGGAACCATGAGCCATCTTGCCACAACCCTTCTCAATCCTAGTCATAAATCATATATCAAAGCTATAATCTTGTGCGAAAAACAGGCCTCGAAAAATACATGAAACAAAAAGAACTGGGATCAGATTATACCATCGATATATTGCGACAAAGAGACTACTCCTTCCAAGGGACAGTGCAAGCAGGGTATAGCCAAAATTATGCCAATCAATAATGAATGCTGAATGTCTCAACCAGCTGGCGAACTTGACAACCACTAGAGTAGGAACTGATGGTGGATTCTGCCGGAGCAACAATATGTAATTTTAGTGGAGTTCGCTAAATATGTGAAACTGGATAATGATTGATCTTGGTTAATAAAAACAGTCTTTTATCATTTTTGCACTGTATACGTCATCCAGTAAGCTATAGAAAGGTCAAGTATTTCCAGCGTATTCAGAAAAAAGTATATGAAGACAGCATTTTCCATAGCAAAATTAATGCTAAATTGGATTATTTACCAATCAGAAGAGAAAACCATCTACCATCAAGACTAGTATTAAGAACATTAAATGAGTATGGTATAATTTTTCTACAGATAATTAGCATGAGCCACTCAAATAAAAAATCTGACCCAAAAAAAAAAAAGATGAAGCTCACCTGCACTATGAAAACATCAGGAGCTGGTATCTTTACACAAAGATACCAAAGCAGCACAAAAAACTGAAATATAGGCTTCAACATTAGAAATAAGGGACGGAAAAGTTCTGGAAGACGAGGTAGAGTCGGCCATTGTGGCTGTGCAAAAAAATAGAAATTGTATCAAGAAATTGCAATTTTCAATACATTCAATCTAGAAGTAACATCCTTAATCATACCATTTTGTGTATATGGATTGATTGGTGCTCTAACACTGAAATGTGGGGCTCTGAACCTATCCAAAGATCAAGTAGGAAAAGATACGATAAGTGGTCATCTGTTTAGTAAATGCATTACCCAAAAGAAGAAGAAAAAAAGAATTACACAATCAAGTAGGTTTAATAACTAATAGAACTAAGCAATAATTTCCAATTTTTGCAGTTCAAAATTGATTTTCAACAGGCAAAAATACAGTGTTGGGTCCTCCTTCCTACAGATTATTGTCTATACCGTGTTATAGGATTTTTTAGCTTCTTTGACTGTGCTTTTTATAGGATTATATGAGTTGTGTGAGAGGAATCTAATGCTTACTCCAATAAATGTGCATTTTTAGGTACATTACTATAGAGCTAAATATTATCTAGAAAAGCGTTCGAACAGCTACTTGTTAAGCATAAAATCCACCCATATCCCATGTCCATAAGAAATAGAAACAGCGATACAATCAGTAAAATAGTAATACCGATAACAAGAGTAATTTACAAAATCGAAAGCATGAACCAATATCAATATAAGTTAGTGGTAGCCAATTATATCGCATTCAGTTCAATCAAATCTTACATATAACCTATAATTGACATTGCAATAGTATATGATGCAGAAAAAGAGTTATATAATTAAAGAACAGAATCATGCTTAAAAAAACAAACAACAGATTTTCATTAGGCCATCACAGGATACAAGCATACCTCCATATGCGACAATATCAACTTCCAGGAAGGTCTGCAAGAAAGTCGGAAATTCATTATACTAAATACCCAATAAGATAAAATAGAATCATACAACACAGTACGAAGAAAGCAACTTATTTTTCAGACAGATAACAAAGTTCTTCTAATTTCACAATTTTGCTTTCCAGGTTTGGCTAAAGTAATATTGTTGTACTTCTAACATTTCAACCCGCTTACTTTCAAAATTTTGTCGTTAAATTTTGAAGCTGTCAGTCCGTGAAATAGAAATATCATAAACCAAGTTTCGCTATAACATTAGATAGCTCATTGTTTACAATGGCTGCAATTGTACATGGTCAAAAAGCAGATAATTTAAAAATATATAAAATTTTGGTAAATCCTTTCCCTTATAAAAAAATAATAATTGATTCAATGTCTATAGTTAACATACTTGATAAACAGCTTACTGCTTTCTGTTTATATGTTGGGGGTCTGCCTCTCTGGCTTATGAGAGTTTGAGAAGGAAAAAAAAGAACAGATTTAAGATTTACTTACGTCGGAGAGTACATTGCTACAGTGATACACATGTTAGTATTGTGACGGCTCATATTTTTACTATCATGCAACTCCTTATAAATACCAGACGAATATAACATAAAGGTGAAAATCAATAGCCACACCTAATCTTTTTCCTTCAAAGCTCTATGCATGTTAACAACCACGAAGAATTTCATGCGCTTATATAAGAATGTATAAATGTAAAATAAATAGGGAATACCTGACGAGCAAGAGAAAGCGCATGGTATTGCATTCGAGGGCTACGGCCAATGTCACCAAGCACGACCACGGCGGCCCTACCTCTCTTACCCATCGAAGCTCCTTTGTCCCCTGTATAATTAAAGGGAAGAAGATAATTCGCATAACAATTCTACAACATATTGATTTCATATAATAATTCTCCATAAATAATTGTAAAAATCAGCTAAAATAGATCGATATCAGCTAAATGTTCTTCCAAAACTATGCTAAAAATCACATCGATAATAGGTCAGTATATATCCACTGAAAAGAAAGGCTTAAAAACCCAAAACCACTCACCACCTCGGTAATCTTCATGCACAGACCAAATTAAAGGAAAAATTAACTGTACAAATGAAAATACCTGGTGGCTAAGATTTCAAAATTGGGAATTTTGGGGAATTACTTATTCAAAAGTCGATTCGGAAGAAAATTGGACTCGAGCGGTCAGAAGGGGGGCTAATGGCGGCGGATTGTGAAGCCCGGCGAGGCGGCGGAGTGAACAGTATTTCACGGAGAAGAAGAGAAAGCGGTAGACGGTGGTGCAAATGATTTATAGGTAGTAGCTGGTGACTGAATTGAAGGCTTTTTGGTGGACAAAGACAAATTAGAAAGAACTCGAACCAACAAGAATTTGATCAAGCCTTCTATTTTATACCAAAAACAAAATAAAATGTATGTACAATTCTCGTGTTCTACCTATTATCTGTAAAAATACTAAAATACTCAAAAGGGGTTGTCTAGGGTTCGAGAGGGGTTGTACTACTCGGACTCAAATGATTTAATGTGGTGCGTAGAAAATAGGAGTTGTCTAGGGTCCGAGAGGGGTTGTACTACTCGGACCCAAACGATTTAATCTGGTGCGTAGAAAATATTTAGTAAAAATTTATAGTCGTTGATTTAAAGTACGAACTAGTACGACCCAGTACGAACCTATCTATATAATATATAAAGGGAGAATACACAATTGAAGTTTTAACATCTTCAATTTTGATCCCAAATTTTTTCATCTCTTTTATTTGTGGACTTCTTTCCATAATTATTATTGCATTCCAATTTATCACTATAAAACATTGTTTTAATATATAGAATGTCATTAAACTTTATTTTAAATTATGAAACAATTTATCCACTTTAGGAATTTCATGTTTTTTTTTTATTTTCTGCCAACCATGAAAAATATTTTTAAAATACCAATTGTTATTAAAATAATTTATATTAATGGAAACGTCGTAAATTTAATACTTACTTAAATATAAATATTATTAAATTCAATTTATTATGCAAGTTTTATTTAATTAATATTTTACATTAATTTAAATTATTTTATCATATGTGAATAAAATATACGGAGAATGTTGTTATTAAGTAAATTTGAATTAATGGAAAACATCGTAATTAAAATAGTAAATCTAATACTTACTTAAATATACATATTATTAAATTCAATTTATTATGCAAATTTTATTTAATTATTATTTTATTTATTTAATTATATTACTTTGCAAATTTTAATATAATACTTATTTCAATTGAAAAAATAAAATGCTTATTTTAATGGAAAAACTATACATCGTAATAGATGCTTATTTAATTATATTGTTTTGTAATAAGTATATTTAGTACGTATTAAAAAAATCTAATCTATCTACATAATCAATAATGGGAAAATTCACAATAAAAAAATGTCATCTTCCATTTTGACCCCATTTATTTTCTTTATTTGACTTTGGTTCACTTTCCTTTTACACTATCCCATGCACAATAATCTTATTTTGAATTATTTATTCTATAAGTTTCATTGCATATAAATAATTAACTAAAGATTATATCTACATACCTTATATAATAAACTACTTACATTTTTATCACGTAAATTAATTGCATATAAGGTATATAAATACAATTGCATATTTATATACCATGTAAATTAATATATTCAATTAATTTGAATTAATTTGAATCCAAATGAGTAAATAATCTTTATCTACATACCTTATATTATCAATTATTAACATTCTCACATTTACATACCTTTTGATTTTTCAATTAGCGGTAATTTGAATTAATTCCCCTACAAATGAGGTATAATGATTTCTTTCCATTTTTTCCATTTATATTGTCTTTAATTATTTAGATTGTCCAAATCGTTTGAATTTTTATAATTGAAATTGCACAATTAGTGTTACAGTTTCTTTCTTAATTAAATGATTTATTTTCCTTATACAACATATTCAAACAAACTATATAATGTCATATTGGCTTCACTCATTTTCTTCATCCTATTTATTTAAAACTTCATATTGTTATGCTTATAAAACCAATTATACATTGTTACCTTTTTTTACCAAATTCAACACAAGTTATAAAACCCGACCATTTTCATCACACTCATCACATTCACCCAACAAATTACACAAGTAAGTTTAATTTTTTTTTGGGTCTATTAATTGTTTTCGTATGCTTTATGTTTATTCATTTTTTTATAATCATTTTCGATTAATGGTATTCAATTAATTACCTAAATTAATTGGTCATATATTAGTGGGTTATTATATTTTCAATTTTTCATCCCTATTAGTGGGTCATATATATGCCTAAATTAAAATAATATATATTTGCTCAATTATATGGGATGGTTGCAAAAAAGGTAATTTCGTTTTATTTAAGCTAACCAATTAATTTTGTTTGATTATTTTAAGTGTATATATGAATATTTACAATTTGGTGTTAGTTAATTGATGAGTATTTTTTTCAATATTTAACTATGTAGAATGCAATCTTTATTTGATGAAATAAAATAATAGTGTTCAAATAAAAAAAATAAGATTAGGAATGAGTATATATATATGTATAATATCACACGAATATTATTATACTTTCCATTAGTATACATATCTAGAATTATATATATTTTCCATAGTAATTAAATTAAGAATCTTAATTTACAGTTTTAATTATATATTTAAGTACCGTACTAATCTTTGTTTTTTTTCTTTCTACATACGCATGCTACTATCAAAACTTGATCAAATAATGATTGTCACATTTGGTTAGGCACAAAATTGAATAGTTCATAATTAATTGAACTGTCGACGCATCAGAAGTATACGAATATATATAGGTCAGTTTTACACAAATTCATTTTTTTGTTGGATTTGATGGTTGTTTTAATTAATTGTTGTGTGTTTGCAAAGTTAAGAACAATTTAAATAATATACAATCAATACCATGTCTTTCTTGGTCAAAATCATTGACATATCATGCGATTTACTTGCTATGTCCTTTTAATATTTTGATGGAAGAACCAGTTTATGTTTATCATCAGAATATTTTAATATACACATTTTTTTTCTGTTATACCAATGCTGGCATCTAATTGTAATCTGATTGCATCATCGTATCCTTTCTAGATGGACGATACAGTGAAATCACCGAATTCACAGAATACATCCATTCTCTATGATGTACCTATTGGTAAGACTTTAATAAATAATACAAATTTAATTATTTTCGTTCATATGATAATAATCTATAAAATATATTTTACTTCTCATTTCATATGTACATTTGTTTAACTGTATAATCAGTATATTATTCGGAAAAATAACTTTAATTAACATTTATTTTTGTCAATTTCTTATTATTAGATGACTTTTTTTTCAATACACGTTCGTTTTTATTCCTTTTTGTATGTATTTAGAATATTCATCCCAACCGGTTGACAAAAAAGTTGCAAAACCTAAGCGCAAGATCAACACCGACAGTACGCAATTTTCGCCAAATGTAGTTGTTGGTAACGTTTTACAATAAAATAGCCTATTTTTTCATATTTCACAATACTTATTGTACGTTTTAATACATATGTTATTGGTTGACTACAACCGTTGATTTTCAACACTTAAGATTTGTAGTTCTATTATGAATCTTATGTAGTAATTTATTTCAGGTACCTTTAATGCTAAGAGATCATCAATATTAAGGAAAAAGATTGCTTTTGGGTATAATGATTTATCAAGCGATACGTTAGAAAGTAAGAATTGTACTATTTATTATATATATAAAATAACAATATAATTGTATAAGTGTTCGCATAATTTCAACTTCTACGAATGTACAGTTGTCAACAATTCGAATGTGCTGTCTGCTCAACAATACTCCATGAAAGAGAATTGGCACCCAAGAGCGCGGAATACTCGCGAAGTGACTAATGGTGTGCATGCTACAAACTACTTAATATTATAGTTTGGTATATTAAATTATTGTTAATTTGTACTGTCAAATAATCTTTTATATATTGTCAACACACTTTAGACCACCTTGATAACGGAAAGGGAAAAAATATCATGGACGAAGCCATAAAACCGCAAGATGCTTCATTTTATGGAATGAGTGGTGGTCATAAGCGATACGCTTGCGTTCTTACAGACATAACGAACGGTTAGTTATTAACCTCATCTGACATTTAAATACCACCATTTACATTTATATGACGTTTGAACTTTAAAGTAACGATTTCACTGTACGAATAGAATAATAATTTTATTTGACATTATGTTCG